CACCAGGTGGATGGCCTGCCCCTTCCCACCCCCAGCGGCTGCCTCCAAGCCCTTGCTCGCCCGGTGCCCAAGGACGCCCGGTGTCTCCCGGGCTGGCTAGCTGGCTGATTGGCAGTGCTTTGCCATGATCGATTCCTTGCTTGGGGAACCGATCATGGCAAAGCAATGCTTTTTTAATAGCTGATCTGCGGTTTCAAAATGGCCACCTGCTGTTTTCTGGATGGATTCCTTGCTTAAGAGGCACCGAAAATGGCCACCTCTATGGAGGATCTTCGCTGAACTGTGAGTTTTTGCCCCATAGGAACGCATTAAACAGGGTTTAATGCGTTCCTATAGGGTTTTTTGTTCCGTTTAGCAATGTTTCCGGATAGCGACGTTAACCCTGGAATGGATTAACGTCGCTATGCAGGGCACCACTGTAATAAGTTTCCCTTCAGAAATTTGTGCATAGTTATTGCTGCTTTGTTTGATATGGAAATATAACAATTTACGTTCTAAAGTGCTGACCATTCATAAAACTCAGTGCAGCAGATGCAGCTGTTTACAAAACACCCAGTTGGTGGCAAACTCCACTTTTTAAGTTTCAAGTTTCACTTGAATACAAGAGAGTGAAAGCTAACTGCTCTCTGGTGACATACTGATGTCAGGCAAAATTAACAGGCTTAATGCAAGTCTGGTAAAATCTGAAATATTATAGACAAAACTTACCAAGAACTGTACTGATGTTTTCTTTGGCTTTTGTGTCTTTTAAAAACAGCTTACTTCCAAATACAATCAACTAGTATAGCATTCAATTCCAAAAGGTATATTATGCTTACTTTTACAGCAAGCCCTTCCATTTAAAAATGTATATTTTTTAAAAATGTGTTTCAGTAAGTTTTTGCTTCTATAATCAGTCAACCTCACTATTATTTCAATAAAAAATTAATCAATAGCAATGCACTCTACAGGACTGTTTATTCCCTCTATTTGTTAATTATGGAAATTGTTAACAGGCACTGTCAACCTTTTTGCTATTCTTCAACACTTCCTCCTCCTCCTCTGACCTCCCCCCCCTTCTCTCCAGGTATCTACCCTGTCGAGCAGCTTACCCTGCATGTTGTCAGGATACTGAGTTTTATGTTCCTAGACCTCATTCTGTTTACAGCTTTTAAATGTTATCTTCCATCCCTCAGATATATGTCATTCTTCCCTAATGATGTGCCAGTCTAGGATAGTTATCTAACAGAACAGCTGGAGCAGCTTAAGAATAAAGGGACTGGTGCCTATTCCCTATGAACCAACAGAAATCTCCATTTCTTTTCAAACAGCTGAAAGTTTTAAAATATAATGTATTTGAAACAGATAAATCCCAGATCTTCCAAATTGATTATTCTGATTTGGACAATAATAAAACGTTCAGTCTTAATGCTCATTGTACCCCAACTCTACAGAGAGTTAGGATCCTTCCTGACTCAACAAAGAATTTCATCATGTTCACATCTTCACCATTCATTTGTTGAAACTATTCTTTCATTTCTCCTATGCCTCTTCATTCTCTTTCAGGCAATAAGTGCTCTGGAAAGAGATCTGTACCGTCTGCTGTCCAGCATCTAGCAGACTGACTGCATAAAATAGGCATTCTCACACCTATTATAAATTCTTTACATATGTATGACACAGAATTTGAGCATGGTGACACTTGCCATCATAACTGATATAAGTGTCGGCAGATAACACTGCTATGCTACAAAAATGTGTGCTGCTTATATACCACCCCATAGCCCTTCAAGCACTCTATGGGAGGTTTACAAGTTAATCATGTAGGCTACACATTGCCCCCTCCCCACAGCAAGCTGGGTACTCGTTTTACCGACCTCGGAAGGATGGAAAGCTGAGTCAACCTTGAGCTGCTACCTGGGATTGAACCCCGGGTCGTGAACACAGTTTTGGCTGCAGTACAGCAGCTTAACCACTGCGCCACGAGGCTTTCTATATTTAGAAGTCGGTCACGTAACAAGTTTTGAACCAAAATTTCAAACAGCTAACTTAAAAGACTATACAGAGCAAGAAATATGCATGTCTTGCCAGAATTTATACCACAGAATACCAGTATGGGGTTCCGTGCTTTTTATTTAGAAGGTTAGATTATTATATGCCACATTTTTGCCTTTTCTTAAGTGCTTTTATAAACGTGCAGATCTTTTTTAAAAGTATGGTTGTATTTCATTCAATTTTATGGATTCAGTTCAATCCAGAAAAAAAATATTCAGAAACCTGCCTTATTTCAATGCACTAAGGATCTGTTACTTAAGATGGTGTCCTAGAAATTAACAGATTTTGAAAGTTAGTGTGGTATAGTGTAGGGGTTTCCTAACTGTGCACTGTAGCTTCGTGGGGTGCCCAGGAACTGAGTCAGAGGTGCCATAGGAAAAGGGACAGAACACAGACTAGAGAAGAGCTGTTCATAGCTCTATGTCAAACAGGAACTAGAAATGAAGTCTGTGTGGCTGCCTCTCCTTGCCCCATCTCTACAGTCCCCAGTGGAAGTGCTTGCTGGGTGGCCTCAGGGAGTTTCCTGTGTCAGGACTAGAAAGAAGGTGGTCATAAATTTAAGCACCATTTCCCATAGGAATGCACTGACATGCAATTAATCCGTTCTGGCCGAAGTGGGGAAAAATCACCAAAAGAAACAAACAAAAAAATAAAAAAACCCACAACACTGCAAGACCCATCAGAAACATGATTAATCCATTCTGGCTGAAGGGAAAAAAGAAGAAGAAGAAAAGCAAACAAACCATGCAAGACCCTTTGGAAATGCAAAAGAGCAAAGCAAAAGCAAGCAAACCCTGCAAGACCCTTTGGAAATGCAGAAAAAGCAAAGCAGAAAGCAAGCAAACCGTACAAAACCCATTGGAAATGGGGGGGGGGACCCAAAAA